TCCTTTTTTTTTTTTCTTTTTTTTTTTTTACGACCATTGTTTAGGGTTCTTTGTTTTTGTTTTCTTTCCTAATTACGACCATTGTTTAGGGTTCTAACGGCGTACTCACACTAGCGTCATCTCAAATGCATCTGAAAGCATTCACGCCCATAACTGGATGCATCTGGCCTGAATTCCGTCCAAAAAGCAGTGTGAGTATGCCCTAAGAATCTCTACCTGACATCCAAAATAGGAAACCATTGTAACCCTAAGACCCTAGAGCCTTAACCTTCAAGCCTAAACCCTAAACCCAAGACCCGATATCCTAAACCGTAAACCCTAAAAGATCCATCAGCAAGGATCTGACTACTATCCACATACTCACACTAGCACTATCTCGGACGTATCTGACCACAATCACAGTCAGGTTCTGCCGGAAAGTTGCGAGTATCAACCTATTACTGCAAAGTAATCTCCCAACTGCCAAATTCTTGAAATTCATCAACTTCTTCCAATTTAGAAAAGAAAGAAAGAAAAATCATCAACTTCCTGATTCTCCGATGCAGAGAACAGAGGTGAACCTCCTCCACCCGATAAGCCCAGCTATGGCAGTTCCAACATTTACGGTGCAATGGACTTCCACTGCGTCCAAATACACTCGGCACACATTGGCCTCTTGGAGTTCAGAATGCACGACAACGACTTTACGTTCCCATTTCAAGGAGCAGCTGCACTACCGCCTTCACCCACACAAACACCCAGTCATCATAGCTGCATTTGGTGCAAGCTTTTTTTTTTTTTTTGGAAAACACCCCTGCAGTGCTAGCTGTGCTGACAAGGCGAGAAAATTTGGGGGGTTATGGTCGGAATGGCTGCCGATCTTGACTAGGTGGGGTCGTATGCTGAGACCTGTCTGTTGATTCGAAGCATCCCGTCTGTAGGGATTTGCTGTTCGTGCCACGGGTTTCGTGCGGTAGCGTGTAGGATCTGACTAAGTAGGGTCGTATGTTAACACTGGGTTGTTGATTCAAAGCATTCTGTCGGTAGGGATTTGTTGTGTATGGTGATTGTGCAAGGGTTTTCGTGCGGTAACGTGTACGATCTGCGTTTTGGTTTTGTGGCACTTCAGGCTGATTTGGTCTCTCTGATGACAATGTTGGAGCTTTCGTGCAGAGACGCTTAGGATTTGCTTTTTGGGTCTGTGGCACTTCGGCTGGTTTGGTCTTTTCTTGATGACGGTTTTAGGTTTTGAACTGGGTACCTGTGTTTCCATTTTTCTGACCCTTTCTTTTTTATTTTCTTTGGCTTTTTGTTAGTTTTTTAGTCTCCGTTTCTTTTCGTGCGAAGTTTGAACCGTCGGTGGTTGGCGGAAAATGTGAATCGCGACCGGAGTACGTTAGACGTTTGGTCTGTACGGGACTTGGTCCGTTGTTTTCTCAGAGGGTCTGGTCGTAATTAAGTGGCTTAGACCCCTGATGAGTCCTGGTTGGCGGCCAGGCGAAAGCGGTCGGGTCGTAACGCCGGTCGGATGCTTTGTCCAATTATGTGCTTCACGATTATTCTTCGTTATTGAAGTCGCGTTCAGGACACTCCTATGGTTTGGTGTGCTTTCCCTTCTTCTTCCTTTCTTCTTCCTTCTCCTCCCTCTTCTTTTGTGGTTGTTCTGGTTTGGTGGTGCACGTGCGGATTTCACGGCCATTCATTGTGTGTTTTGCTGTTAAGCTTGACATACCAGACACCACTAGCACCCGGGGGGAGGCTCCATCTATTGGTGGGGAGCATCACCTGCTGGAAAACGGGTCCAGTGTCCCATTACAGAATGCATTACAGAATGAATACAAACTGGGTCAAGAGAACTTGACTGTAAAACCTGCCAGCATTGATTGCCCTGGCCACCAGAGGATTGACTGTGCAGGTTGTTAAGGAAGGGAAGAAAACCTCTTCGCCCTAGCATCAGGCACCAGATATCTACTGCTAAGAAACTAGTCCCTCCCTCCTACTTTTTTTTTTTTTTTTAACCCTCCCTTTTCCTTTGAGATAGTGAACACGCCTGCCAGCATTGATTACCCTGAGCAAAAGCGGTTATCGGGTAGCTGAAAATTCAGGAATGAAAATTCTGAAATGAGAGTTTTGGGCAGTCCTGAATGGTCCTGAAGTGGTGAAAGGTCCGAAGACCCTGAAAACCACTTGTTTAGGCAGACTGCATCCTGAAGTGGTGAAGGGTGTCCTGAAGTGGTCAAGTGAGAGTTTTGGCAGTCTGAAAATTCTGAATGGTCCTGAAGTGGTGAAAGGTCCGAAGACCATGAAAACCACCCTTCGCCACTTGAGATGCAGCCTGCCTAAACAACTGGTTTTCAGGGTCTTTGGAGCTTTCACCACTTCAGGACCATTCAGGATTTTCATACCTGAATGGTCCTGAACTGGTGAAAGGTCCGAAGACCCTAAAAACCACCTGTTTATACAGGCTGCATCCTGAAGTGGTGAAGGGTGTCCTGAAGTGGTGATGAAAAATACGACTGTTGTTAACCTTCTCTCATCCGTGCAGGAGTGAGCGGGCGTCTGACAACCATCATTAATTAGCTCTCCTTTGCATGCTAGGGTACCAAACTTTCGACCGTGTCTTCAGTGGACCGGCCTGATGTACAAGGGGGGGGGGAGGCGGGTTCTGCTCCCAAGGGGCGACTGGGGAAGACTACCAGTCCTCCCTATACCCTTATCCATCATGATCGGTTCACTAAAGTCACTATTGGAGAGGTTACCCTGTGTCACGGCCATACCAACGCAGTTCAATCAAGACATTGTTGGGTAAGGGGATAGGTCAGGGAATTCAGAGGCGAGGGGGAGTGGGATGTTGCTAGGAATTGGAGTCCAATCATGGAAGGTCAGTCGGTAGTTTTTCTGCAATGTGTCCAACCGATCGTTGTCATCCAGGTGTCAGCCATCCCATTGAATTTTTGATATCCATCCTCCTTGTTCTCCCCCCAGCAAGTCCATGCAGATTTCATGTAGTTTTTGGATGATGTCTGATCTTTTTGTGAGAGCGTTCGTCGCTTGCACAATTTTTTTTCCACTGGGCTCTGATTGTTGTTTCGATCATGTCTCTAATCATGTCCATCATCTCGTCTCTTTCCACACGGGCGCCTTCAAGTGCTAGAGTGCATCTGCGACGCCATATGGCCCATAGTACCGCATCCCTCCCGACCCTAAATAAGTTGGTCGTAAAGGTCGAGGTTTGAGCGGTCCAATG